TCCAGGCAGTGGCACTGTGGTCACACAACTGGAGCCACAAGGGAAGGTCCTAGGTTTGCATCCCAGGACCCCACTGAGTATGCCAGCAACGTGTGCGTACCTATGATGTGGGAGGAAACTGCAGGGAGACTACAATGTAAAGACCCTGTTGGGGTGGGGGACTGTCTCTGTCTCTCCGCTGGGTCTGGGACTCAAACTGTGGTGGCCATATAGGAGTCCAGCAATGTAACCATTATGCCATCTGCTGGCCCAAGTAGCTAATAATCTAACATTTCCTTCTAATTATTTAATGATTTCTTTTTTTATATTTTACTCTTTATTCATTTCATATGTTTTGGGATATAATGTTTACTGAATTCTTTTTATGAGTAGTTAAGATGGGAACTTCTTTTAGCACCATTTACTGAATAATCCTTTTTTTTTTTTTTTTTTTTTTTTTTTTTTTTAGGTGGTTTTTTTTTTAGGTTCTCCACCAGACAGACAGAGAGACAGAAAGCGAGAAATCACCCCCCAGGGGGAAATGGCTACGCCGCAATCCCTTCTCCTCCATTCTTCTCTCGTGATTTTGGGCACGCACGCACACACACGTGCCCGGCGTGAGTTTTCAGCCACCGGGTCCAGGACTCGAACTGCGGTCGACTACGTGGGAGTCCAGCGACATAGCCATTATGCTAACTGCTGGTCCCTGAATAATCCTTTTTTATCCTACTGGCTTTGGGAACCACCTTTATTATATTACTATATGGTAGTTAAAGGTGTTAGATTCCCACATGGCTGACTGCAGTTCAAGTCCTGGACCTGGCAGCTTGCTTTCTCACTGTGCCTCGCTCTCTTTTTCTGTCTCTCTCTGGTCAAATTGATGAATAATAATAAAATAAAATGAGTAATTTTTTAAAAAAGAGAAATAACTCTGAACATCTGTAAAATGGTGATCACAAATCCTGTTCAGAGCACATACCCCATATGCTGTTTCTTTACAAAACCATGGAAGCCTAACAAATTGCAGAAATATTTGTTTCCCTGCTGTTCAAAAAATATGTTGACTCCCTTTCATGAGAGTTAAAAACAAACTCAATTTTTACACCCCTGCCGAATCCTGAACTTGGTTAAACCTCTTCTTACCAACACTTTACAAAATGGCTGCTGCCTCCGCTACTTTGGCATTACATGAAAGAACAATAGTGACAAAATTAGAAAGGAACAATTCCATCGCGTAAAGTCTATCATGAAAAGCAACTCTACTGCCCAGAAAAATAATGCCATCATAACAAAATCGGAATAGTACCTTTGGTGCTGCTACTACCAGAGAAGAGCACAAAGATGCTGTTTTGAAGTCATTATGTAAATGAAAAGTCTGTCATTTCCATCCATTCCACTTGTTGTAATTGTCTCCTGACAGGAACACTTCTCACATGTAATTTTTACATTGTTAGGTTTTTATTTTTTAACATGCAGAGCTTGCTGTGACAGAAAATGAAGGCTTCTAATGAGGCCAGGTTCTTGGGACTGCAATGCAGACAGACCTGCCTGTGACAGCTAATGGCCTTCACTGAAAAGTCCTGCTTAGTCCAGCCAGGGCCAGGCGGCTCATTGAATGGCTTAATAACTCCGTTGGGTCAGTGGGTTAAATTCTATGAAGTGAAAATTTATAGGATCCTGTGTTTCGATTTACAGTGCATTTTAGTGAAATGATTTAGAAAGGACTCCTGTTTCCCAGTTTTATGCAGCCTTCTTGCCACATGCATTTGTGTTTGTCAAAATTCAGCTGCTAGCCCAACTGTAGTAGCATGCTGGGAGGTGCTGATACTTAGCAGACTGAGGCCACCTGGGGGCCCATGGTCCATCCTCTTCCTGTCCACCCTAACAGCCAGGTGGGGTACACGTCTGAGGTCCCAGCTACTAGGGAGACTGAGGCAGGAGGATCATGATGTAGCAGGAGCCTGTCTTAACAAACAAACTTTATGTACTTCTGTGCCGTTATGGAACATTCTTGATGGTGTTGATAGTATTAAGACTTTATGAGGGGACCAGCAGGTGGTGTAGTGGTTAAGGCACTAGACTTCCATGTGGCTGTCTGTGGTTTGAATCCTGGACCTGGTGGCTTGGAACTCACGCTGGGCTCATGTGCACACATACTCAGGGTCCAGAGAGGAAAGGAGAAGGGATTGTGGAGTGGCCATCCCTCCTGGGAGGTGATTTCTTACTTTCTGTCTGTCTCCCCAGGAGACAGCTGTATAGCAAAAATATCTCTAAAAAAAAAAAAATGAACTTAATGTATAGATTGATGGTTTATTGTATGCCAAGCACTGCTCTGTTTCACAAAATGTATCAAAGTGTAAATAGTTATCAAATACGTAGATTTTCACCTCCTAGATGAATGTGCCCTAGTGAAATTCTGCTTCTCAAAGTCAGGTGACAAGTTGATGAAGTGGATGAATTAGGATGATTTTTTGACATGTTTCCTGACATTCTGGGATTTTAGGGAAAAGATGGGAGGGGAAAAATCATTCGATAATCCTAAGCAGTTTAGTTTAAGCAGAAAAGGAGAAAAAGGATAAGAGCTGTTAAGAGGTTGAATACCGTTTTCCTGTTACTGCTAATTCAGTCAACCTTTCCCAGCGACCTCCTAGTGACAGAAGTTCTAACACCGTGTCTGGCACTGACTGGGCGTCTGCTCTGTGTGGGTGTTGTATCAGCTGAGCCACATCCTCTCTGGAAAGGATTTCAAGCTTTTCCAAAAAGGACATAAACTTTCCTCAGTATTGACTTCCTTACGTTAATTTAAAATAATCTGCTAGTTTCATCCTGTTGTATAAGAGTAATTCTCTCTTGTTTCAGTCCAAGACCTCAGTCTTTTTGTGCATGCATGAAAGAGAGAGAGAGAGAAAGCACTACCCCATGGGGCCTGGGGACAGTGTAACCCTCTTATTCCAGTCCTCCATCCTTTAGGATCCTGGGAATGCACATGTGTGCACACATGCCCAGTTGGTGTTTTGTTTTTTAAGAGAGGGTTTTGCTACTGGGCTTGTGCACTCGCTGGAGAGACAGCTAGTGAGAAATCACTCCCCTCCCCCCGCGAAGGCATGACAACGCTATAGTCCCTCCTCTTCCATTCTCTCTCAGGATCTTGGGCATGCACGCACACATGCCTGGCATGAGGGTTTTTTTTTGTTGTTTATTTTAAATTAAGAATTATTTTATTTAGCTTTATGTATGTATGTATGTATTTTATTTATTTTAATTTGACCAGAAAGGTACTGAGATAGAGAGAGAGAATGAAAGTGAGAAAGCAAGCTGCTGGGTCCGGGATGTGAACTGCAGTCAGCCATGTGAGAGTCCAGTGCCCTTAACCACCATGCCACCTGCACACCTCCCCCACCCCCACTGCATGAGTTTTAAGCCACCAGGTCCAGGACTTGAGCTGTGGTTGACAACGTGGGAGTCCAGCGACGTAACCATGACACCATCTGCCAGTCCTGCCCCAATTTGTTTTTTAAGCCTCTGGAGCCAGGTCTTGATCCCTGGCAAGACCCCAGTCTTGATTCTTTGGAGTCATATCCATAATAACAAGCCACTGTGGACAGATAACATTCCTTCTCTCCAAGCTTTCCTGATCAGTCCTCTGGTGGCCTTCCCATTTTCCTCATGTGCCTTCGTATGGCACACAATTACGTATTTAATTGTATGGCACAAGTTCTCTATTATTCTAGCTAAGACTTTATCTTTGTCTAAATATATTTTTAAAATAATTATTTTATTTGACTTTACTGATTGATTTAATTTTCAGAGAGAGAGAAAGTGAGGAAACAAGCCACCAGATCCAGGACTTGAACTGTGGTCGACCATGTGGGAGTTCAGTGCCCTGAGCCACCATGCCACCTGCCGGCCCCATGTATAAATAAATTTTAAACTCAAAGGGTATTATCTATTTTATCTATATTATCCCCATAAGCCTGAGTACGGTGCTTATTACAGATCATGTACTTACTAAATAAATCTGAAATAAACGAGTTAATAAATGAACAGACTTTAAACTGTCATTGCCAATTAATGTTTCTAAGGAGCTGCTTATGATGAATGTACAATATAACGTCAGCAAATTTTCAAAAGCTAGTTTCTTTTGTTGCTTTTTTTCCTTCCCTCTCATCTAAAGCAGTGGTTCTCAGACTTGCTGACCTCAGGATTCCTTCACACTTAACACTGAGTACCCCAATGTGCTTTTGCGATGTAGCTTACATCAGTGATACTCTATTCAAATCTAACACAGAGGCTTTTTTTTTTTAAAGAGGTTTTTGCCTTAGGGTGCATGTGCTTGCTGGAGAGAGACAGACAGTGATAAGGAAAGTGAGAAATCACCCTCCAGGGGGATGGCCTCGTAGCAATCCCTTCTCCTCCATTCCCTTCCTGGGATCTTGGGCATACACACACATGTGCCTAGCATGATTTTCAGGCTACTGGGTCCAGGACTCGAATCATGGTCGGCTGTGTAGGAGTCCAGTGATATAACCACTATGCCATCTGCTGCCTCCAGAGACATTTTAAACGTAAGAACACAAGCATGTATCCCACCAGCCATCAGAGCAGTGACGTCAGCACATGTCATGTGGCCTTTGGGAAACCCCGTGGTAGACTTGCGAGGTAATGAGAGTAAAAAAGGCAAATAATGCCTCAGTATTATCAAAATTATAAATAGCTTTGACCTCCTAGAGCCCTGAAATAATTGATAATCTGATTATTATTGATCATTATTAAATCAGGCTATGAGAAAGATAACCTTTAATCTTAAGGTAGAAATTGTTTTTTACCTTCACATCTAATCATGAGCATTATGAGAGTTGTAAGTGATTCTAATTCTATAACAAGAACAAAATTAATCCTTAATTGACATTAAGTAATAATTCAGGGTTTTTTTGGTTGAAATTATCTCTGTTTTTAAAAAGTAGACAGTATTAGAAAACTGTGTTTATGATACATTTAGGTCACATTCTCTTCCTCTGCAGTTCCTCAGTTTGAAACGACATGCAGTTATGTCGAAGCTACACTTGAAGAGTTTCTGGCCTGGAACAGTGACCAGTCTAGTATTTCTGGACCATTTAGTGATTATGATCATTCCAAATTCTGGGCCTATGCGGACTATAAATATTTTATCAGTCTATTTGAAGATAATACGAATGTTTTCCAGGTAAGTCAATACATTCCTTTTCATCTTAGAATTTGCTCCAAGATCACAAATTAGAATCTCCCTGGTACCTTCTTCCTTCACTAACTTTTTCTCTCAAAAGTAGTCACTGTGAGTCTTGAGTATTTCAACCATTCAAGCCAAAAGATTGTTCAGGGGAGGGGTGATGTTTGGCTCACACAGACGAGCAGCTTTCTCTGTTTTCCTACCCACCAAACTTCCTCCAACCCCCTCCTGTGCTTTTCAGCAGTGCCTGCGCCAGTCTGGAGTGTATCAAAAGCTCAGACTGTGTACACAACCTCATTTCCTCCCGACCTGCCTCTTGTTCTGCCAGTGAGCCAGGCAGAGATACAAAGCTGATTCTAAGAAGGAGCGATCCTTGGGCCGTGACCAGGCTCCTGCTAGGCCTGGCGTTTAGTGCCTCTCTTTCTCTGGTGGTTTGTGGCCTGAGGCAGAGAGCCCTGGGCTCCTGGTGTTTGATAGCAGAAGCCCTGCAGAAACATGGGAGTGACTTGCAGAAGTGAGAATATGGAAGTTCTCTGCCCTGTGTTGACATAACTGACAACAGATTGCAGGCTACCGTATATCCTCTTTTCTCTGCAGTGTTTTCTACCTCAAACTGCCAGTTGATTTAGTAGGATAATTTTACAAACTCCCTGCTGTGGTTTCTGAGTTTGTCTTAGGCATGGGATGTGTAGTCCCAACTGCTTGGATGACTCTGTGTTGCCCCTAGCCAGAGATCCAGAGTCCTTCAGCCTGCCCCTAACCCTTTGTGGAGGGAAGTGCTTTGCTGTCAGTCAGGCTGCCCACCCCTTGCTCCTCTCTTCCTGCCTGTCTTCATCATCCCCTCTTGGACTTCCTCCCACTCACATAGGCAGTTTTTTTGGAGTAGTTTTCTATTCAGGCTTTACTTTTCTTTATTCATTTTTTTTTAATTGGGGGGGGTATCGTTTTGTTATAGGGCATGTATACTTGCTGGAGAGAGATAGAGAAAGAGATAGAAAGTGAGAAATCACTCTTCAAGAGGGATGTCCACACCACAGTCCCCCTCCGTTTTCCTCTGGGATTTTAGACATGCACGCACACGTGTCTGGTGTGCTTTACAAGCTGTCAGGTCTGGGACTAGAACCGCAGAGCTGGCCATGTGGAATCCATCCCCCCTAACCTTCATGCCATCTGGTGGCCCTACTTTCCTTTTTCACTTCAAGCACAATGCAAATGCTAATATTTATAATATGACTACCCTGTCAGGTGTCCTGTCCATCCCAGGTATGGCAACACTGGGCAGACATGGGACCTGTCCGTTAAGTGTGGCTATAAAAGGCGACCTCCGGTACTATGCTCACATTCTAACTGAGCTCTTATAAAAGCTGATGTGTTGAATTGCAGGAATTTTGTGTCAGCTTACGTTATGGCAGTTAATTCTGCTATGAACAACCAGTCTGTTAAGATTATGTCATCTTCCATCTCAAAGTTTTCTGGGAGCCAGGGTTTCTTATATCACAGGTACTTAAATTGTCACTTCACTTTTACCACTGAAATCCTGTCACCAAGTCATCTTTTTAATATTTTATTTATTTATTTATTTAATTTTATTTATCATTTTATTTTATAAAATTTGGCTCCAGAGCGCACATGTTCACCAGAGAGAGAGTTGGAGGAGAGAAAGAAAGTGAGAAAGCAAGCTACCAGGTCCAGGACTCAAACCATTGTCAGCTATGTGGGAGTCCATTTCCTTAATCACCACGCCACCTGCCGGCTCCATCTTCTTACTTACTGTTCAAGCTTTTTAACATCTTATAAAATGGTGGGGAAAATAATATAATTACCTGCATACATAAAACTGATACATTTTAAAATATTTATTAATTGATTAAAAATAGTATAACAAACCCTCTATATGTTAACATAAATAACATATATTTTAGAAAATAGCTATTTTTAAAATTGTTTAATGCTATTAGAAGAGTGAATTGTTTTACATTTTTGCATGTCTCTTTCATGTCTGGCTATGAAAAACGAGATTCTTGTGTCTGATTCTTCCCTTCAGGCTCTTGCAATGTGTTGGTTTGTTTGAAATATATGAAGAAAATCTTGCCTCACACACACTTGCAGCTGAAAAAGGAAAGCACATTCTTACAGTCTTTTCAGATAATTGTGAATTTTTATTTATTTTTTCTGGAGAGGTTTTTGCTATAGGGTGTGTGCGCTTGCCAGACAGACAGAGAGAGACAGAGAGACAGCGAGAAATCACCCCCCCTCCCCGAGGGGATGGCCACGCCACAATCCCTTCTCCATTTTCCTCTCAGGATCTTGGGCACGCATGCACACGCGCCTGGCGTGAGTTTAAGCCACCAGGTCTGGGATTCCAACCGCAGTTGACTACGTGGGAGTCCAGCGACACAGCCTTTACACTAACTGCTGGTCCCAATAATTGTGAATTTAATCCCACACAAAACTTAAGTCCTGAGTTCCACTCTTGTGAAACTGTCTGTGACTTTTTGTTAATCAAGTGTAGCATTTGTAGAGCTTCACCCTTGTGAAACTGTCTGTGACTTTTTGTTAATCGAGTGTAGCATTTGTAGAGCTTCATAAAAAATGCTTGGCACTCTTCAGGCTTCTACTTTTATAAGTTTTTACTTACAGCCTCTTCTTGAAGTTTCTGTTACCTTTTTTCCAACAAATTAAATTCATATAATGTTGATATATACTGATAAGTATACTAATACGATTAGAAAATTTGTAGCCTTAAAGGTGACCCAAAATTATTATTTTGATAGTTGCTACATTGTGAAGTTCTCAGTAGAGGCATGTGTGTCTTACAGCTTTTGAGTCATCCCTCATGAGCGTGTCACGTTACCAGTTGGATGTGCTCATTCGGGTAGGTGTGGTGTAGCAGTGATTCTCAGCTCACTCAGGGCCTGGGTTTCTTTTATGATCCTGAAATACAATTTGTAGATAATATAATTACTTGCATACGTAATTTTTTAAACTTTATTTATCATTATTATTTTCCAATTTGATCAGAGAGAGACAGAGATAGGGAAAGTGAGGAAGGAAGCCACCAGGTCCGAGACTTGAACCATGGTTGGCCATGTGGGAGTCCAGTGCCTTTAACCACCATGCCACCTACTGGCCCCTATATACATCATTTTTAAAACTAGGTATAAGTATCTTATCTGTAACATAAAGGAGAATTTAAAAGAAGTAAGTTGTTTATTTATTTTTGCTATAGGGTATTTGTATTCACCGGAGAGAAATAGAGAAGAAGAGGAGAAAGTACTTCCCATGGGGATTTATCATAACACAATCGATTCTTCTCCATTTCTTCCTCCTTTTTAGGGTTTTGGACATGCATGTGCACATATCTAACATGTTTCTCAAGCCACCAGGTTCGGGACCCGAACCTCGTGGTTGGCCATGTGGGATCTGGTTGCCTTGACCACCAGATCACAGAGCTAGCCCTAAAGAAAGTAGTTCTTAATAAAATAACAGATAGTTATTTATAGTATAAGTGCTCAGTGACTACACTAAAAAATATAATGAAATAGTCAAATTCAGGAATTCAATTAAGCTGATCTCCCAAACCCAATATGTCAGCATTTTGAATGGATACAAGATCCAGTCCAGAAACCAGGGCTCGCCTTGATGCACCCGGTGGTCTGGGATGCTCTTCTTCTGATGTTGCTGACTCCAAGGGGTCTCGCTAAGCTGTATGCGAGGCCTGCCCTGTTGTCAGTCACTGTGTGTTAGGAGAATTGTTTAAAGTTTGGAAATGACTTCGGATGACAAAGAAGCCCTAGGACCATACCCATAAGAGCTATAGTCACCTAAGAAAAAAATTCCAGACGCAGAATAGAGTAGTAAGTGCTCCAGGCCATAAGGACATGAAGTGCCAATACTGGGGTAGATTAGTGCAGAAACTGTTGTAGATTCGAGCTCTGCTGTGTGCTGTGGGCTCTACTGGCCTACTTAATCCCTCTACTGACTATTAAGTGTTCAAAAGACAGAAAGTAACTGAATAGCGCGAGTAGTTCCCATTCATTCTACAGTCATCGATTGCGCGCCTGATTTTGAGACCCTGTGTTAGAGCTGGAGAGTTGCCATAGCCCTTCGATCTCTTTAGGGAGCTTATATGTTAGTGGAGAAGACAGAGAATCAAACGAGTAATGGACAGTTGTTGTCAGTGTTAAGAGCTAAACAAAAATGGAACAAAGTAAAAAGTAACAGGAGAAGAACTTATCTTTGTTTTTGTTTTTTTTTTTAAGAGAGATTTTTGCAATAGGGTGCATGTGCTTGCCAGAGAGACAGAAAGTGAAAAATCACCCACCAGGAGGGTATGTTCATGCTGCAATCCCTTCTCCATTCTCTTCTCAGCATCTTGGGCATGCAAGCACATGCATTCGGCACTTGTTTTAAGCCACTGGGTCTGGGACTTGAACTGCTGTCAACTATGTGGGGGTCCAGTGACGTAACCATTACATCATCTGCTGGTCCCAAGGAGTGAATTTAGGAGTCTTCTCTGAGAAAGGTAGTAATTAAGCTGATAGCTAAAGAATGAGAAGCTAGCCATGTGAGGTGTAGGCCAAGACACGAGCTTTCTAAGCATGGTGAATGTCACGTGCAGAGGCCTTGAGAAGGGAAAAACTTGCTGGGACCAGCAGGTGGCATGGTGGTTGAGGCACTGGACACTCCCACATGGCTGACCACGGTTCAAGTCCTGGACCTGGTGGCTTGCTTTCTCACTTTCTCTCTCTCTTTCTCTGTGTCTCTCTGGTTAAATTTTTAAAAATGAATGAATAAATACAATTATAAATAAATATTTTTTTAAAAAAAGAAGGGAAAAACTTGCCTTTCTGGAAAAAAAGAAAGGCCAATCTGAGTGGAGCCTGGTCAGTGAGCTGGAGCACATTAGAGATGGCAGAGAAGTGACAGGGCACACCGTGCAGGCCCAGGTCAGAGGGGGTTTGTGTTTAATTCTTAGGGTGAAGCAAGGGAATGGTGTGACTGATTTTAAGAAGCTCCCTCTTGCTGCTGAGAGGAAAATGGGTCAGAAGCAAGGAACGTTCAGAGAGCTTCGGGAACCCAGCAGAGAGGATGGCCAATTTTGCAAGAAGGGAAGTAGGAAGTGACATTTAAATTGGGTCTTGAAAGAGAAATATGAAACATGGAGGGGTGGAGGGGAGAGCCAGGTAGAGGAGTGGCAGGAAAGGCAGGGAGGAACATGGCTCACTCTGGAAAAGCTGTGGTTCTTGTAGCAACCCAGTACCTTTGCCATTCTGAAATGGCCATCATTGGTGATATATTTATCTTCTTTTTAAAATCGTTAAAATGCATTAGTGGAGGCCAGCATGTGGTGTAGTGGTTAGGGTGTTGGACTCCCATATGGCTGACCACGGTTCAAGTCCTGGACCCAGCGACTTCAAAATCACCAAGCACATGTGCATGAGTGTCCAAAATCTTGAAAGGAGACTGGAGGAGAAGGGATTGTGGCATGGCTATCCCCCTTAGGGGGTGATTTTTCACTTTCCCTCTCTCTTTCTCTCTGGCGAGTATACACATGCCTTGTGGCAAAAAAATCCTTAAAAAAAAAAAAAAGCCTATAGCAAAAACCTCTCCCAAAAAAGAATATAGAGTTAAGCTCCCTGCATGGAGCTTATGGGCTCTGTTCAGAGGGCACACAATTTTGCAGTCTCCTTTAACTGCTGTGCATGAGCCATATTCACCCACAATGGTGCCCACCCTGCAGAAACTCCCTTCTCTAAAAGGCATTCACTATATGCATATATTCAGCTGTTATCATCACTCAAAACAAAAATGAAAATGCTTTGTCTAGTCTTCCTTAAAACCATCTGTTAAATGTCTCTTTAAAATCCTCTTTCTATGCAGCTATTAATGGTTTCCTTCTAAAAATAGAAAACTTAAATTGTAACTACTGATAAAGAAAGTGTCAGCATTTAGGACCATATTCTCCATACGAAAGTGCTTTTTTTGGTTTTGTTTTAAAAACTCATAGGAAAAATTTGTGATTCAAAGAAAAGTAAACCAACACCTTGTGTCTGGTTCCTGGTATGTTCTTTTCCTTTCTTAGCTTATGCTTTTCTTCTTTTAAATTGCCGGAGGGCATGCAAGCTTGCCAATGATAGACGGGAGAGAAGGAGAAAGCACCCTGAAATGGGGCACAGCAATGCCACAATCCCTTCTCCCCCATTCTGCATCCCTTTGGGATTTGGGGCACTCACACACATGCACCTGCCATGTTTTTCAATCCTCTGGAGCAAGGATCTGAACTATATAGGATTTGAACCAGTTAGCCATATGGGGTCTGGCTCACTTAACCATCAGGCTATGGGACCAGCCCATAAATGTTTTTAAACCCATGGATTTGGGTGCATGTCTTACCCCATTTTTCTGGCTGTACGTTGCACTGCTGACCTCTAAGTATAGGCTTTTCCCAGTGGTTCACTCAGGCAGGATCTGTTCCCAGAACCAGGCCTAAGGAGAGTTCAGGTCCAGAGCACTGAGCTGCCTCTGTTCTCAAACTCACTGCACTTTAGGAGTTGGTGATTTTGGAGAGGATAGCAAAAGGCATCATAGGGATGCATATTTCAAAAGATACTGTGGCATCTCCACCTGGAGGCTCTGATTTAGTAGGTCTGAGCTCAGGCTCTGGCATTAACAGATTTAAATAATTTCACTAACCTAGGAGAAGCCTTCTTTTATGTGGTTACCGCAGTATAAAAAGCTAATAAGATGCGTATGTCCATAAATACCTGCACTGCTTAAGGGGAAAGTGGCTTTCTGACTTCCTCGTTGAGCTTCAGAGATATCCGAAATAGTGCTGTTGCTGTCGTACTGGCCGTCCCCACTGCCAGATGCCATTTTCCTTTAGACAGCTGCATAATCCTGCGTATTATTCGTTGTCTGTCTCCCACCCCTAAACGTGTCATCTGCTGACATAAGGCACGTTGGCCACTTTGTTCATTGATGCATCATAAGTTTCTAGACCTGTGCCTGGCAAGTTGTAAGTAGTCATCAAATAATTTGTCGAAGGACTATTACTAGTGAGATTATTCATATATGGTATAGATTTAAAAGATTTCTTGAACTGCCTTAGAAACCTAGCCCCCTCCATCTGTAGGATTTTCTGTAAGAGGTTATCCCAAGTGCTGAAAGCAGATGTGCAGGTGAAAATGTGCAATACTGCCACACGGAGGAGTGGTAGGTTCTCGAGGAACTGTAACTTTATTCCAAAACAGGATGTGATGTGGTCCGACTTCGGGTTTCCTGGAAGAAATGGACAAGAAAGTACGTTGTGGATTGGCTCTCTGGGAGCCCATACGCCCTGCCATCTGGATTCCTATGGTTGCAATTTAGTGCTCCAGGTGCAAGGAAGGTAATGTGCAGGCATGTGGGGTGGGGGAGAACAGGAAGAGGAATGAGCACTGCGTAGGCGGCAGGACTCCCAGGCTTTCTCCCAGACCCATCCTGTCAGCCTGCCTCATGACCAGGGCAGGTCTCTTAACGTCTGGGTGTTGCCTCCTTTGTAAAGTGAGGGGACCAGTTGAAATAGTATGTCCACCATGGTCAGGATCGTCTTCAAAAGGCTTATCCTAGAACTCTGGGATTCCATTCCCAGTTCAACTAAGATATTTGCTTAGTTTTTTTATTTGTTTCTTTCTTGTGTAAGAGTGTACATTAGTGGTTTTCAAACTTTTATTTAAAAATGGGAATGCCATGGGACCAGCAGATGGCATAATGGTTATGTCACTGGACTCCTACATAGTCGACTGCAGTTTGAGTCCTGGACCCGGCAACTTAAAACTCAAGCTGGGCACATGTGTGTGTATGCCCAAGATCCTGAGAGGAGAATGGAGAAGGGATTGCAGTGTAGCCGTCCCCCGCAAGGGGGTGATTTATCACTTTCTGTCTTTGTCTTTCCAGTGAGAGCGTGCAACCCACAGCAAAAGAATGTCTTAAAAACAAAAACAAAAACAAAAACAAAACAGGAACGCCATTTCTTTAAATCTGTATAAATAAGAACAGAGCAATTTGTTGAAAGGAAGAAGCTTTGGGGCCAGCAGGTGGTATGGTGGTTAAGGCGCTGGATACTCCTGCATGGCTGACCATAGTTCGAGTCCTAGACCTGGTGGCTTGCTTTCTCTCTCTTTCTCTCTCTCTCTCTCTCTCTCTGTGTGTCTCTTTCTGGTCAAATAAAAGAAAGGAAGTAGCTTCATGATTATCCTCAAGGCCCTGAAGGAATGCCAGGGAGGCTGGTTTGAAAAATACTGAGCTAGTTGGTATTTTTGGCTCCTTTCCATTTTAAATTTTGGTTTGTGCCTACCTATAGACATAAACTATTATTAACTTAGGATAATTTTCATCTCCACCTACTTTTGGACCCTAACAGAATAAGGACTAAGGCCAAATTTATAGTACCTGGTTCTGTCAGTACCTGGAGTTACATGGGAGTTTAAGTATTTATTTGTGCCACTTGGTGGATACTCTAAGATGTTTTGTGTGCAGCCTTATTTTCTCCTAATGAATGATGCCCCAGTCTTCTCTCTGGGCCCTCTGGGACATTTACAGGGCCACAGAGGGAAGACCAGAATTGGCTGTGTGCAGGTTCTTAGAAGCCTACACATGTGAACCATTTCAGATGTGATGGACTCAGAACTAGGGAATGCTGGAAGGCAGTCCAGTGTGAGTTATCAGTCTTCATGAAAGGGCCCAGAATGTCTCAGTACATTGCTACAGCGGTGGGTGCCAGAGTGAGTCAGATGTGCAGGGTTCGTGCCCTGGACAGTCAATAGTCGGAAACCTTGACCTTGGTTAGGAGGGGCATCGTTGTAAGTAGTCACTTCCCACATGTTCTGAATTAGAAAAGAAGCCCAGAAATTCAAGTTGGAAAAACTTTACAAAAAAATACCTGGGTTCTTTCCTATAAAGTTAATAGAGCTGTATTTTAACTTTGTCATAGAGCATATTTTCTGACCTTGGATAGGCCTGGAGTAATAAAATCTCTGGGTGGCCTCTGTGCAGGGACCTCGTGTTGCAGTCGGTGCAGCGTGACTCAGACACTCACAACTCTGAGAGAGCGCTGGAGTGCAGGCCACCCCACAGGCTGCTGTGACACAGGACTCAACAGGCGTGCTCTAGGGAAGCTTTCACAGAGCTGCAGAAGAGAAAGATGTGTTCCTGTTGGGAAAAATCAGAAAGGTTTCACAGAAGAACTGCCATTTTTGGTGGCTTTTTGAAGGATGGATAAGTGTTTGGAAAACACGGATGGAGGGGCAGAGGGACCCTGGGAAAACTTGGGGCGTAGGGGACTGTGTGAGGCATCCAGGGGAAGCTGGGGTTAGGCTGGGAAAGCAGGAGAGCCTGAGGGACTTATTTTCTGTTCTTCCAACGTGTAGACCCAGGAGAGGTATTTCGAGCAGGGGATGACATGGTCGTTGACTACCTTTTCGGACAGAGGTCCACACAATTACATTTCAAGCCCAGGAAGCAGACTGGTCACCACTGTGGCCGTTGAGCAAATGCTGCAAGGCACAGCGGGGAGGAGGAGGACCTGAAGAAGCCCGGAGATGTGTGAGCTAGTTCTGGGTCTGCCACCAGCCACTGGCCCAATGAGTGACCCTAGGCAAGCCCTGAGTCCCTCTGCCACTACTTTGAGGATGAAGTTAGAATGATGATCCCTTCAGAGCTCTTCCAGCTCTGACATCCTAACACACTAAATTCTGCTATAGGATGCGTGCGCTTGCCAGCCAGCCAGACAGAAACAGAGAGACAGAAAGCTAGAAATCACCCCCCAGAGGGGATGGCCACGCTGCAATCCCTTCTCCTCCATTCTCCTCTCGGGATCTTGGGCACACACGCACACACGCCCAGCGTGAGTTTTAAGCCACCGGGTCCAGGATGTGAACCGCGGTCGACTACATAGGAGTCCAGCGACATAGCCATTACGCTAACTACTGGCCCCCCTAACACACTAAATTCTGAAAACTGCCACCAGACTGGTCACAGGGGTGGAGCAGCTCCATCACCCCAAGGCTTTACAATGAAGCAGACAGCTGTAGAACTTCAACCGTTTTAAGCTGATGGCTGTGTATTGAGAGACTTCCAGTTCCAATTTCAGAAAAGTAAAGCATTTCATTATTCCTGTAAGTAAAGCCTTCAGATTACCAAAGCAAAATAAGACTTTCATATGTACTTTTTAGTCTGAAAGGAGCAGCCACCACTTCCCGGTTCTGAAAGGACTGGAGAACCCCAGCGTCACTGCACAGAAACACTGGAGGGTCTGAGGGCTCCCTCCCCCAGAACCATGTTCTGTTTTGTTTTGTTTTCCTCTTTTCTCTTCACTTCCCCACCTGTGTAGCTTTGTCTTTGTCTCTTTCTCCTTTCACTTACCTTTTGCCCCACATGTCCTCCCTCTACTCGCATAAAGTATAGGTATGTCTAGTGTTCTGTGAGTTAAGATTTCTTTTAATACTACCATTTTTTCAAAACATTTTCTTTCTCTCCCTTTTTAAACAATTTTTTTATTTGCTATAGGGCATATGCACTCACCATAGAGAGGAGAGAGAAAGGAGGAAAGTGAGAAAACACCCTTCGGGAGGATGGCCTTGCCACAGTTCTTCTCATTCTTTCAGGATTTGGGGTATGCGTGCACATGTGCCTGACATGTTTTCCAAGCCTGATCTGGGACTTGAACCGTGTGGTTGACCATGTGGGATCCAGTGCCTTAACCACTACACCACTGGTTGGCCCCTTTCAAAACATTTTTAAGTGACTGAGACATTCTACATTTTTCTCTTTTTGAGAAGACACTGCTTTTTAGTTTTGTGACATTATTTGTGCATTTCTCATCTTTAATAGGTTAACTTAACAAATGTTTAAGGCATTTATAACTCAAGCAGGAAGAAGTCTGGAAATTCTCAGTAATTGGGGGGTGAACTCTGGGTGTTTGCTCTGGATGAGATGTAAACAGGTATTTGAAAGGTTGGGTCATTCTGAGAAGCTCTAGAATCAGGGATAGAAAGGATGTATGTATGAGAAGCCAGACTTTGATTTGAGATGAGAAACTAGATCCTGTCCCAGCAAGGAAGGGGCCCACTGCAGGGCTCAGGTGACTCCTGGTAGCTGCTGCACTGCCTTCCAGGTTGTCAGCGGAGGGGATGCCAGGAGTGAGACAGGCTAGGGGGACGCGTCCGTCTTCCTTTAGGGATTGAACTTAAATGAGTAAAAATGAACAGCTGCTGCCCTCTCCTGTGCTTGTCTCAAGTTTAGTGCTAACTTGTGTCTTTTTTTTTTTTTTTTTTTTAACTAGGAAAAGATGGCATCTTTTTCCTCCCGAAGATACTCCTTTCCTCTACCCAACTAGAATCCCTTATGAAGAATCTAGCGTGTTCAGTAAAATTAATGTTGTCAATCCTGATTTAAAGCGTTTTCCTCAGTTCCGGAAAGCTCAGAGACGTACGGTTACGCTGAACCCAGGACAGGTAACGGGGCTGTAAAACATGGGTGACCTGTCAGTAGACACCACAGCTGTAACTCTCTCAGGTCCTTATGCCACTTCTCCTCAGCACAAATGAGAAGGGCCTTCCCTCTGCTCTGCTATGGGAAGGTAGCTTCCCCAGCTGGAGGCCTGACAGCCCTGGGGACGGAGATGGCAGGAGGGAACACAGCTCCTCCTGCTGGTGAAGAGGAGAATAGACTTGGGAGGAAGACAACACAAGTTGTCTTTTTCAACCATTTTCAGATGGGGTAAGAGAAAGTGTCAAGGCATGGGTCCTTGAGCACCTCTGAAACATTCTTTCACAGTCAGCGTTTGTTCAACTGTGAGAGAATTGAACTCACACAAACCCAGGTTAGACCATCCGGGTAGTAGGCCAAGAGAGGCAGATTGAACTGAGAATGGTTTGCTTTTAAGCAAGAATGGATGTTGCTTTTGCAAAATGACTCTCACCAAAACATTTCCAGAGATGGAACTTAGTGCTGCTACCCATGGGGATTATTGCTTTTACAGCATTGGCATTTATTTCTTCCATGAATAAGAGAGAGAGAGAGAGAGAGACAGGTGGAGAGAAAGAGAGGCTATCTGCTATTTTATTAACAGCTTACAAGGTTTTCTTGGTCTCTTAAGGAGACTATTCCCTCCATTGTCTTCCTCTGGCTGTCTCTTCCCGTTGCTTTCCTCTTCCTGGCTCTTTTCCTGCTTCCTCATCTCAGGTGCTACCGACTCAAATGACTGGACTTGAGCAAGTTGCCTCAGTCCATTAGCAGTCAGGCCCCACTCTCTCCCTGGCTCTGACAACCACTAACCTATTGTATTTGCTATCTCTATATTTTTGCCTGTTCTGGATGCTTCACACAAGTGCAGTTGAACAATATGTCGCGTTTTGTGTCTGGCTTCTTTCACACAGTGTAATGTTTTCCAGGGTCGCCCCTATAGTAGAATGTAAGCAGCACTGTATTTCTTTCTTTTTTTGAGAGATTTTTTTGCTATAGGATGCATGTACTTGCTGGAGAGACAGAGAGACAGAAAGCGAGAAATCACCCTCCAGGGAGAATGGCCACGCTGCAATCTCCTCTCAGGATTTTGGGCATGCACACACACCTGGTGTGAGTTTCAAGCCCCCAAGTCCGGGACTCGGGCTGTGGTCAACCACATGGGAGTCCAGCACCTTAACCACTATGCCACCTGCTGGACCCCTGCCTTTCTTTCTTTCGGCTGAGTAATACTCCATGGTATGTGTATACCACGTTCTGTTTATCCCCTTAGTTGACAGACATTTGGACTGTTTCCACCTTTTTGACTGTTAGAGTCATGCTCCTATGAACATTCACATACAGGTTTTTCTATGAACATGTTTTCAGTTCTCACGAGTATGCCTAGGAGTGGGATTGCTGGGTCATACGGTAACTCTGTTTTTAACTTTCTGAGGAATCGTCAAACTGTTTTCCACAATGGCTATCCATTTTACATTCCCAGCAGTTGTGTAAGAGGGTTCCAGTTTCTTCACACCCTCCCCCTCACTTATTTGCCTTTGTTATTATTATTCTTAGAGCCTTGTAGAGGGTTTGAAGTGGTTTCTAATTCAGTTCCTCTTCTGTTTTTACTAGCCAAATTTCAATGAGTTGTTTTGTCTGTCCTGTCAGTTGTTGTCCTTATATCCTGTCTGTTCCTTATTCTACTAGAAACTGACTCTCCCACCGCCTCACTCCAAAATCCAGGGGTCCTTTTTAGTGCCTTGTTCTGAAAGGAACTCGCTTTCCATCTCCCAGCCTGCCTTGTTCATAGTAAGTGCCCTGGTTTCCTAAATCTGAAGCTCAAAAGTTTCAGGTCACCTCCATGTCCTCTACTGAACCTTCACAGGAAATCTCCTGTGAGTCCGGATACCGACCCTCTTAACTCTTCCTGTTGCTTTTGTTTACCATGCCTTCCTATTTCTTTCTTTCTTTTTATTTTTTTTAAAGAATTATTCATTTAATTTGTATTCATTATTATTTTTAAATTTGCTATAGGGCATACGTGCTCACCAAGGATACAGAAAGAGAGAGGGCGAGTGAGAAAGCAAGCCTCCAGATCCAGGACTTGAACCATGTGGGAGTCCAGCGTTTTAACCTCTATACCACCTCCTGGCCCCCCTAGACCTTCCTATTTCAATCTTAACATGTTATAATCAGACCATTGCAAGAATCTCCCATCTTTCCCATACTCTCTTTTGTAAAAATATGATAGAGTGCACTTGTGTCTGCATGAGAAAGGGGAGGGAGAGCGAGCACAAGAGAGTGTCCTTACATGATTCCTTTTCTCAAACCTCCAGGTTCTCAGGATTCTGGGTACCTGTGTGCATGCCTGGCAAGTGTTCAGGCCAGCATGGGATCTGAACCCCCGTGGGCCATGTGGCTGCCAGCCCTGCAGGGCACTTGTGTTACTCCTACACCACAGCAGCAGGACCACCAGACTCTCTTCAAAAAAAAGTTTTTTTCCAGAAATTACATATGCTTGTCAGACAGAGAGAGCGAGAGATTTTAAAATAAGTGAATTAATTAAAAACAAGTGAAGCATGGTCCCATCACAATCCCTTTTCCTCTATTCCTCCCTCTTGCCAGTTTGGGCATGCACGCATATGTACCTGGGATGTTTTTCAGGGCCAGGATTTGAACCAGTGGGACATATGAGATGTGTTTCCTTTAAGCACTGTGTTAAGGACTGCCCTTAATGTCACTATTTTAACCATCCCCCTGCTTAGAAATTTCTAAGCAACTCCTAATACTATCTACAGATTAAAATCCAGATTCCTGATTCTAATTCAGGGTCCTCCTGGCCCTTACCTAATTCTCCCACCTTTTCTCTCTCTCTCTCTCTCTTTTTTTTTAAAAGAATTATTTTATTTATTTATTTATTTATTTATTTATTTTCACATGAGTTTTGCCAGAGAGAAGGAAAGTGAGAAAAGAAGCCATCAGATCTCGGACTTGAACCGTGGTCAGCCATGTGGGAATTCCAATGCCTTAACCACTATGCCACCTGCTGGCCCCGTCCCACCTTTTCCCTTATTACTCCCTCTGTAGTAGTAGGGCTGACCTACTTGCTGTGCCCTGACAGTCTCACCCCCTTTGCCTGTGCCACTTCTCTTTCCCAGGATGTCCTTATTTTCTTACTCTAAATTCTCTCCTAGCCCTGGTTCGCATTACAGTTCCTCCATGCAGGGTGCCCTTACCGCCCTGGCTCTTGCCTGCTTCTCTCCCTTCCCATGTTCTCAAGCACCAGCTGTCCTCCACCACTTACATAACACCGCATTCTACACATGGTCTTCTCATTGGCTAGATTTGGGAATATGAGAAGACAGAACCCGTGTCTTGTATATTTCTACCCGTGCCCTTTCTCAGAATGTACACAGTATTATGTGATGTGAAGGAAGAAAAACTAGAATCTCAGAATCCTATATAGGTTGAATATCCTTTATCCAGAATACTAGGACTCGGCATCAGAAATGTTTCAGAACTGGGACCAGCAGGTGGTGTGGTGGTTAAGGTGCTGGACACTCCCACATGGCCAACCACGGTTCAAGTCCCAGACCTGGTGGCTTGCTTTCTCACTTGGCTCCTCTCTGTCTGTGTTTCTCTTTGTGTGTGTATCTCTCTCTGGTCAAATTAAAAATAAATGAATAAATAAATTTTTTTTTTAAAAGAGGAAGAGAGAGATGCAGAGAAGGTAGGCTGAGATCACAGGTATGTGTGGTCGTTTATTTCAGGCTGACTCACTAGTTCCTGTCCTAGGAATTACTAAATAAAAACTGACTCCAGAATCGAGTCTCAAAATGACTAGAGTTCTCTGATCTCCTAGCAAAAACCTCTCAAGAAAAAATATTGGGTTGTAAAATTTTTTTCCTGATTTCTTTGCCTCAGTCAGTTTCATCAATTGACCCATTCTGGTACTCATGGGATTTAGAATGTTTCAAGTTTATTTTTTGATCTTGTCATTTTGTCATTGTCATTTTTGATTTTGTTCCTAAGTGCTACTGCATTTTATATATGTATTTTTTTTTAAAGGGATTTTTGCTATAGGGCCCATGTACTTGCCAGAGAGATAGAAAGCGAGACATCACCCCCTAGGGGATCGTAATCCCTTTTCCATTCTCCTATTGAGATTTTGGGCACACATGCACATGCACCCAGAATGAGTTTTAAGCCACCAGGTCCAGGACTTGAACTGCCATCAACTACATGGGAGTCCAGTGACATAACTATTATGCCATTTGCTGGTTCTACTTTTTTTTTTTTTAGATTTTTGCCTTATGGTGTGTGTGCTTGTCAGAGAGAGATGGCAGGAAACTGAGAAATCACCTTCCAGGGGCATGGCCATGCCAAAACTCCCTTCTCCTCTGACACTCTTGGAAATGGGATTGTTTTAATTTCTCTCTCTCTCTCTCTCTCTTTTTTTTTAAAAGAATTATTTTATTTATTTATTTATTTATTTATTTATTTTCACATGAGTTTTGCCAGAGAGAAGGAAAGTGAGAAAAGAAGCCATCAGATCTCGGACTTGAACCGTGGTCAGCCATGTGGGAATTCCAATGCCTTAACCACTATGCCACCTGCTGGCCCCGTCCCACCTTTTCCCTTATTACTCCCTCTGTAGTAGTAGGGCTGACCTACTTGCTGTGCCCTGACAGTCTCACCCCCTTTGCCTGTGCCACTTCTCTTTCCCAGGATGTCCTTATTTTCTTACTCTAAATTCTCTCCTAGCCCTGGTTCGCATTACAGTTCCTCCATGCAGGGTGCCCTTACCGCCCTGGCTCTTGCCTGCTTCTCTCCCTTCCCATGTTCTCAAGCACCAGCTGTCCTCCACCACTTACATAACACCGCATTCTACACATGGTCTTCTCATTGGCTAGATTTGGGAATATGAGAAGACAGAACCCGTGTCTTGTATATTTCTACCCGTGCCCTTTCTCAGAATGTACACAGTATTATGTGATGTGAAGGAAGAAAAACTAGAATCTCAGAATCCTATATAGGTTGAATATCCTTTATCCAGAATACTAGGACTCGGCATCAGAAATGTTTCAGAACTGGGACCAGCAGGTGGTGTGGTGGTTAAGGTGCTGGACACTCCCACATGGCCAACCACGGTTCAAGTCCCAGACCTGGTGGCTTGCTTTCTCACTTGGCTCCTCTCTGTCTGTGTTTCTCTTTGTGTGTGTATCTCTCTCTGGTCAAATTAAAAATAAATGAATAAATAAATTTTTTTTTTAAAAGAGGAAGAGAGAGATGCAGAGAAGGTAGGCTGAGATCACAGGTATGTGTGGTCGTTTATTTCAGGCTGACTCACTAGTTCCTGTCCTAGGAATTACTAAATAAAAACTGACTCCAGAATCGAGTCTCAAAATGACTAGAGTTCTCTGATCTCCAAGGAGAGGAGCATCTACTTAAAAAAAAAAAAGAAAAAGAGAAGAAATGTTTCAGATTTCAGATTTTAGGAATATATCGAGGTCTTCAGATTTGGGATGCTCAGTCTGCACTAAGATTTAGGTGTGGACAGGAAACGCCCAGGATCAAGGCAAGCAGAGAAGTTGGCAATTCCTTTGTAGAACCTGTGACCTCGTCAATTGTGTCCTTTTCTTTGGGTAGTATTACTGTGAATTCATTCGTATTTTTTTTTCTCCTAGCAGTCTCAATTAGAACTTGATTCTGACATAAAAATGGAATGTCTTGTCCTCATACTAACCATTTTTTTGTTTGGTTCTCAGGTTCTGTTTGTTCCCAGGCACTGGTGGCATTATGTGGAATCCATCGATCCTGTCACTGTCAGTATAAATTCATGGATTGAGCTGGTACTCTTTTTTTGTTCTTTTTAAAATAAATGAAATTTCTGTTTTTAAAAATGCCAAACCTGCTCACCAAGCGCGACGATTAGTTTTCTTTAACCAACACTCCAGCATACTTTGTCGGGACATGCTGTGATTCACATATTCTCATCTCTGTTGATAGATGTTTGCGTTAAAACAGGAATTTTAGTGATGTTCCTCTCCTTGACAGTCGCAGACACACACAGGCCCTGACGTTGGTGTTCTGGGTCCTCTGTCTTGGCCAGTGTTGTTAGAACTGTTTTGTGCCTGGCGGGGTCTGCTGTTTGTGTCCCACATTGCCAGTCCCCACCCACACTATCTGAGCTGGAAATACCTGCTTTGTCATTCAGGGTCTTCCTGATGAGTTGCAGAATTCTCAGTCATGGCTGTTGCATTTTCTCAAAGCAGAGTCTTTCAGTGCTTGGTTTTTATCACTTCATTTCTGCCAGAGGGTCTTCCCCTCAGTATGCTAGCTTAATCCTGTTTGCCTGCTCTATTTGACAATGACAATAGCTGTCGGGTATGCTCAAATCTGTGTCTCTTTAACCGGAGGCCTTAGTTCCATCTGTGCTCTCTCTAACCAGAGGTTTGGATTGCACCTGTGCCCTCTTTAACCAGAGACCCTGATTACATCTCTGTTCTCCTCAACACCAAGTCCCGATCGCTTCCCTCTGCTCTCTTTGGCAGCTGCATCCTTCCCTCAGTCAGGTTTTCCTTATCATTTGGTAATGGGAAGGGCTTTGGACTAGGTAGAGCCTAAGGAATACTGTAACAGGAAACTGTATTGTACGGGCTTGGGTGACAGCTATGAGGGGAGATCAGCAGACTCTCAGGGACTCTGCTTGGAGTTGGAGCAGATGCCAAGGTAGTCTGTGGAGTCCATTCCCACTGCCAGTGCCAAAGTCACGTCCACAGCAGCCCTGACAGGTGCATCGCCTCCTCCCAGGGAAGTCACTTGTTGTGAAATGTCTGCCTGCCTGTAATCCTCTTACCTCTAAAATTATAGAGTTTGTTTTTTCTTTTTGAAATATTGGAAGATATCTGCCTTGTGTCCCCTTATTCTTTCCTCCTTCAAAGCTCAAAACTTCTAGCTTCTTCAGTGATGTATTCTTATGAGCATATATCACACCCACCCCTCACCCCAACTTTTCACCATTCTGGTCATAGACTTTGGAAGATTTAAGTTACAGGTTCCTTTGTTGACTGTTTAATAGACTCCTTAATCTCTTCAAGCTCAGTTTTCTCATTTGTAAAATGGGGATTATCATGGAACCTGCCTCAGTAGGGTGGTCGTGTATTGCAAGGCTTAAATTGGGCAGCACACATAAAAGCATCTAATATAATGCCCAGCATCAGGGAAGTGTTAAAAAATAGAAATTGCTATGAGGAGGAAGAGAGCTGTTATGTCCTCGTAACACATAGCACCTAAAACTGAGCTCCAGGGGCCCTATATGGTAGAGTCTAAGATTTCTGCTTCGTGTGACTTAGATCCTAACTTTCTTCAGTGCCACTTATAACACTGCATTAGCTTTCTAAGCCATCTTATCTCACGTTACGTTCATATTCAGCTCTGAAATAGACGTGCTTTTTCTGTTTTGTTTTTCCCATGTGATCTGCTGTCACATCCATCGTAAAGCTGATTCTTGAAGTCTAAACCTGATACTTCACAGTTGTCCCTATTAACTTTCTTCCTGTTGGCTTGTTGAGCATCCGGCTTGCTAAGAATTTCAGATTTGGGTCTTACCTGTGCCTTTAGTGAAGCTCCTTCAAGCTGACCTGTTGATATATTCCCGTTAGTCTTTGAGTGTATCCTTGCTTTCTGGCACAAGAAGATATCCCAGCATCCCCTTGTACTTTCTCCCTTCCATACTTGGAAACCAATCATTCCTCCAGGTAACCACGATTCCTTTTAGAGAAGCATGGTATTTATTGTAGAAATCTTAGGGTTTGGCTCTAAGGCTATTCATTGCCACTGAGGTGTCATTGTTTCTTGACTCTTTGAGTGATGATGGAGCTAGAGTGTGGTATAGACAGAGAAGTATTGATATATTTCCGATTCAAATTCAGCAGTATAGGGATTTTTATTACTTGTTTCTGTGTGTGTGTGTGTTTGAGAGAGATTCTTGCTATAGGGCTGAGGAGACAGAGACAGAACGTGAAAAATCACCTCCAGGGGGCATGGCCATGCTGTAGTCCCTTCTCCTACATTCTCCTCTCAGGATTTTGGGCACACATGCCCGGCATGAGCTTCAAGCCGCCGGGTATAGGACTCACACCACAGTCAACCATGTAGGAGTCTAGCCACGTAACCGTTATGCCATGTGCTGGTCCCTGTTTCTATATTTTTATCTCTTCTGTTAAACTGAAAATCTGGGTCCTAAATAAGTAACATTTTTACTTATTTACTTTAGCCAATATATTTTAAAATGTTAAATTTATACTTCTAGAATTCTAGTACTGATATTGTATATAACCATAAGCTTGCAAGTAAAGTTTAAGATTTTTTTACAATTCTTTTTATCATTTGATTGTATCCTACTAAGGAGATAGCGAGCACTTTGCTCAGAAGTCTTGGTGAAGGAATTCTTATTGGTGGTTAGGCTCCTAACTTGATATTCAGCTAGTTTGGTTTGTTTTCATTGCATTTAGTTACACTTTTCAATTTTGAACTAATTTAACATTTTGAATATGTAAAACATTTAAGGCTGTCAAAATGCTATTAGAAAGTGTTCTCAGGGGCGCTGGGCGGGCTCAGTGACGCCGGCCTGGCACCTGCTGCTCCCAAGGCCCTCGTCGGGAGTGGAGGGCAGGGCTGGGTGGACTGGGGCAGACCAGGGTGGGACAGATGGAGCCTGGCCCCTCCTTGAGGCTGGGAGCAGGCCTAGTGGCTGGCTGCAGGCAGGCAAAGCCCCAGTAGGCTGCATCGGATGGAGGCTGAGGTGCTGCCTCTGGTCTGCCAGGCCGAGATGTCCGCTGCCGGCACGGCCTGCAGGCCACCTACCATCATGGATAGAGTGGAGCTAATACTGCCTGAGAAGCTGAGGCCATTGTACAATTTAGCAGGCCCCAGAACAGTTTTTTTCTGGGCTCCAGTTATGAAATGGGGTTTGGTGTGTGCTGCCCTGGCTGACATGGTGAGGCCTGCGGAAAAATTCAGCACGGCTCAGTCCACTGTCCTGATGGCCACAGGGCTTATTTGGTCAAGATACTCACTTGTAATTATTCCAAAAAATTGGAATTTGTTTGCTGTTCATTTCTTTGTGGGGGCTACAGGAGCCTCTCAGCTCTTTCACATTTGGAGATAAGCCTACAAAGATACAATCAAGAACTAAAAGCTAAGGCAGATAAATAAGAGTGTTTCCAGTCACCTGAACAAGCTACCTGTGGATATCCCACTGGAACTATTGATGGTTTATCATGGTTATTGATAAGGCAGAGCTGACTGTGCCATTGTGTAGAACGTACAAAGACCCCTAACTGTGACTGGTAGCTAGTGCTTGATTCAGCAGAAAAATAAAGCAAACTTTTAATAACTGTTTCTCCATACGTATGACTTGAAGAACTAGACCTACAAATGTTAAAACATCTTTTCTATCATTTGTCCATAATAAATCATCCTTGCTCATCCATTAAAAATAATAATAATAGAAATTGTTCTCAGAGAAGCCTTCTCTCATCCCTGCCCTGCACTCTCTTCCACCCAGCTTCTGTAGGGGCTTCTGTATGTATTTCCAGTGCAGCATTCATCATGATAGTCTGTCTTTCTTGTAAACACACACACACACACATATATGAATGTGCATATATATGTATTTATATGTGTGTATATGTATGTGTGCATGTGTGTACATATGTATGTATGTATGTGTATATGTGTGCATATGTGTGTATGTATGTGTCTATATGTCTGTGTGTTATAGATACATAATTAAGTACATGAATACGTGTATTGACATATGTGACTAAGTATATAAATATCTTTCTATACTTACTTATATGGTTATGTATCTATATTATTTCCTCTCCTTTCTTATGCAGAAAGTGATAAACTATTTATAGTGCTCTGTACTTTGCTTTTGTCATTTAACAGTAATGTCCTCAATTTGACTACATAATAGGACAGAGAGATCATTTTCTCTTCACCAGTTATGTTATAACCTGTGATGTGTATGTTCCACTCTCAGTTGGCAACTGAGTGGATGTTTGGTTTGTTTCTAGTCTTTTGTAATCACAGATAATGCCAGTGGGAAAAGTGTGCATGTTGCTTTGTATTGGTTGAAGTAAGTCTTTGGGGACATTCTTTTTTTTGTTTTGAGAGATTTTTGCATAGAGTGCATGTGCTCACCAGAGAGACAGAAAGTGAGAAATCACCCCCTGGGGGGATGGCCACGCCACAATCCCTTCTCCATTCTCCTCTCAGGATTTTGGGAATGCACAGGCCCCAGCATGAGTTTCGAACTGCCAGGTCTGGGACTTGAATTGCAGTCAACCACGTGGAAGTCCAGCACCTTAGCTACTATGCCACCTGCTGGCCTCGAGGAGATATTCTTAAAGGTGACTTTGCCAGGACCAGTAGATGGCATAATGGTTAAGTCACTGGGCTCCCACGTAGTTGACTGCAGTTCAAGTCCTGGAATTAGTGGCTTAAAACTCACTCTGGATGCATGTACGTGTGTGCCCAAGATCCTGAGAGGAGAATGGAGAAGGGATTGTGGCGTGGCCATCCCCCCAGGGGGTGATTTCTCACTTTCTGTCTCTCTGGTGAGCGCACGAGCTCTATAGCAGAACTTTCTTTTAAAAAAAAAGAAAAAGAAAAGTGAGCCAGGTGCCTTGTGCGGTGATAAATGTATCTTTAAATATGTGAGGTTTTGTGACTGTTCTGTTTTGCATTTCCATCAGCAGCATATGAGAGTGATTGTTTCTTCCATAGTCTCATCAATAGAATATATTGTCACATTTCATTGGTTTGGGGTTTTGAGTCATAG